ACAATACCTTAATAAATTGATCCCCATGCTCTAATCTAATGGTTATGCTCACTGGTTAGTGAGGATCACCTGTCATGGTTGCCCATTCAAGCCCTCTGAAATCCCATTCCCATTCCCCATTTCCTATTACACCTAAAATATGTACTAGTTGCCCTCTTAAAAAAAAAAAAATTGTACCCTAATATATTAGACAACCCAATATATAATCAACATCAATTCTTTTACTTCATTAACTTTCTTCCCATCTTATGGGATGTTAATCTTTTGATCATCGTTTCTAATTGGGTGGTATTTTTTTAGTACATTTGATGATAATGAGATATACAAAAGAGCATAACTCTCTATTTTCTTGAATTTGATATCTTTAATTTAAAATTTCAAGTTTTTAATCATTAAATCAACATTTGAAAGTTATTATGTGATATTTATATGATATCACGTAGATGCTCACATGTAATTTAGTAAGAACTTATTAAATTTTACGTTTTTCATTCAATTTTTAATTGTGTTAATATGATTTTTTTGATTTTTTTTAAATTAATAAAAATTTAACAAATTAAGCATGCAAATTATAATTGAAAATTTTTTCATACGTATAATTGGGGGTGGGCATATGCCGATTTCGGTGAAAACCAATACCGAAAAGTAACTAATGGACTTTTTCTCTCCTCTTTTTTTCATGACAGAAACCCATAACGGAATCCTTTTTATTTTTTCAGTATTGCATACTGAAGATTTCGGTATTGGATGCCAACAGTTTCGGTATACCAAAAATTTTGGTATTGGACACCAAAAATTTCGTTATTCATTCTTTTGATTTTGATATTCATCAAATTTGCTGTTGCAGAGTGGAGAAAGGAAAGAGAACATTGGTGAGGATGAAAAAGGAGGAAGAGGGGTTCGAAGCAAATAAGATTACAAAGAGAATGGGAGGAAAAAACACGATAATATGATATATAATTTTATAGTTGTGAAAAAACTATAAAAATTTATTATAGATTGAAAAAAAATTGTATTTTTTTATTGTATCCAATGCCAAAATTTTTGGTATACCGAAATTGTTGGTATCCAATACCGAAATTTTCGGTATCCAATACTGAAAAAATAAAAGCGTTCCGTTATTGGTTTCTCTCATGAAAAAAAAAAAAAGAGGACAAAAAAAGTCCGCTAGTTACTTTTCAGTACCGGTTTTCATCGAAATCGGCATCTGCCCACCACTCGTCGTACAATAATTCTTAGAGCATGTTTGGTGCAGCTACTAAGAGTTTTAGTTTTTGGATATTATTTATATCTCATGAATTTAAATTTTTCTTTTAAAAATTTACACTTTTAAATATTTTTTTAACTTCAAAAAGCTCTTAAACAGTAAAAATTTAAAA